TGTCGGGCTGTAGCAACAGGCCCTTGAGTTGGGCCCTTGAGTTGGGCCCTTGAGTTGGGCCCTTGAGTTGGGCCTTGCCACGGGCGCGGTTGACCACCTGCCTGCCATCTGCCACGAGCCCAGCCACGGCAAGCTTGTCCGCGACGTGGATGCGGAGATATCACCCCCCCCCCCCCCCCTCTGTAGGACGCACGTATCTACCTTCTATCTGACCCCAGCACGCACCTCTTGTAGTTGACCCCAGCACGCACCTCTTGTAGTTGACCCCAGCACGCACCTCTTGTAGTTGACCCCAGCACGCACCTCTTGTAGTTGACCCCAGCACGCACCTCTTGTAGTTGACTGCCTCGTTGCGCGCCCGGTTGACCACCTGACGGCCGTCCGCCACGAGCCCAGCCACAGCGATGCCCGCATGCTTGTCCACGATGTGGATGCGCCTGTTGCTGCCCTGCACCTGCATCTTCGATACAAGCAGCTTCTCCACGCCCTGATGGAAGGGCAGTTATGGGAGGAATGCGAGCAGTTAAGTGCTCTAAGATGGTTACGGATGTGGATGCGCCTGTTGCTGCCGTGCACCTGCATCTCGGACACCAGGAAGCTTCTCCACGCCCTGATGGAAAGAGGACTGAAAACGAAACGAACGACTTGCGGACAACTCTTGAGATGAATTAAAGCCGGATTTAAGCGAGAAGCAGACCAAGCAGACCAAGGAGACCAAGGAGACCAAGGAAACCCCACAATCAGACCAAGGAGCAGCGCGATTCACTCACCAGCACACCCCATCCTTGCATCTCAGACCCCTTATAAGACCCAATCCGCTATAAGACTCACCAGCACAACCCCATCCTTGCATCTCAGACCCACAGCAGTCCTGCAAGAGGCGAACGGGGAGAGGGGAGAAGGGGGGTAGAGAGTATGCCAGGGAACCAGAGGGTCAGGGAAGGCGAAATGGGGGAAGCGAACGGAGAGGAGGAAGGCGGGGTTGGAGGAAACTGCTTTTGAGTCGCCTCAAAAAGGGAGAGAGGGGGGACTGAGGGAGGAAGGAGGGAGGGAGGGATTCAGGGAGCGACAAGGTGAGGTCGACCGTGGATTCTGTGTAGCGTACCCGCTATTGTCGACCGCCTTTGCCGCATACTCGATCTGGAAGATTCGGCCATCAGGCGAGTAGGTTGTGACCGACAAGTCGTACTGCACGGCGGTAGAACGAACACCAGGAGCACGAAAGGGGAGGGGCAATCAACATCTAGAAGAGAGACCGATCCTCAGATGCTATTTTGAAGCTAAGATCGAATCTGGCACCCAGTCGCCTTACTGTACCGACATCTGATTGGTCAAATCACGGCCTAGAGCTGCCAAATCTAAGAGCCAGATTGGGCCACGGCGTCGATAGCACGGACCGCATCTGCTGAGAATTAGCAACGAGAGCCTAGATTCGCGTTCGACGGAGATCAGCGTGATGGCGTGCACAAGCCACGAGCGAAATCTAGCTACAAGCTCGTAGTAACACGAGTACTGATAGTGAGAATCTCACCCCTGTTCCGATGCTGCTCATGGCGAAACGCCTGCGATCAAACGGCGGCTAAGGAAAACTTCCTGAACGAGTGATCGCCGTTTGGCAGACCGGGGAAGATAACCGAGTCGGGGACTACGCTCTAGGACTTGATTTACTAGCTCCAATATTGCTAGCACGGTACTGTAAATGGCAGAATGTTTGCAAGGCCGGACACGCACTATGCTGGGATCAGTAAGTGCATCCTAAAAAACGCGATATTGACAGCCTCTATTCAACCATCCGCCAAAGATATGTACCATTAAGCCCTTACAACAAGCAGAACATCTGCACATTTGTTGGTAAAAATACATTCAAAACAAAATATTCAATAAACCAGTAGGTCCACATATCAAGAATGTATCCAGAAGTTTTCAATCTAGCTTGGCAATAATCGCATCGACATATTCTTGAGTGGTCGACTCCCCACCCATCGCAGGAGGACGCACAAACCCCTCAGCAATGACGCCGTAAATGGCATGCTCCAGACGGTCGGCAAACGACGGGAACTGAAGATGCCGGAGCATCATGGCGGATGAGAGAAGGAGAGCCGTTGGATTTGCCTTTTTCTGGGCATTGATGATGTCGTTCCCCACATTGCCTGCTGATGCCCCTTGCTCGAAGATAGCATGCTCATAGCCCACATTTCCTGGATTCAAAAAGGGGCAGAAAAACGTTTCATGCCATGATTTAGACTCTGGAGGTAGTTGAAGGCACCTTGGAGGGGGCCTGCTGTATCGGTGCATCTTTAAGTACCTAGGGAACACTAATGCTGATCAACGTACCTCCAGGCATGACAGTGGTGCCGCCAGCGATGCCTGCAGCAGTGTTTGATATCAGTGTGCCATAGAGATTTGGTGTGACCTGAATTGTTGGGGTGATGGGGGGGGCGAGGAAAGGAGAGGGGAGTGTGAAGGGAGTGAAGTGAGACAGTGGAGATGAAGGGGTTGAGATAGATAGAGGAGATCAAGGGAGGGGGAGTGCACTGGCCCACAACTACAGTCCGTCCCTCTTACCAGTTTACCTGCCTAACTTTCCCTGCCCAATTGCCCCATTGCCCACCTTCCCCTGTGTTCCATCCCCCCACAAGGACGCCCCCCAGCCCCACCATGACGTCACATTGTATGCCACATTGTTTTCACCCCTCCCTTATACGTCCCCACCTTGCCCTTCTCTACCCTTCCCACTCCCTTTGCTCCATGCAACCAGATTGCTCGGACTTGGAGGCGAGCTACATGCATGCAGCAGTTTGCTTCATTCCCCTCAAAAGCACCTGCTGTGCTGCCTGCACCCACTGCATACCGCCTCCATTCCCTCCTTTCACTCACCAAGACGTCAAACTGCTCGGGCTTGGAGACGAGCTGCATGCAGCAGTCGAATGACACTCCAATCTCAGAACCGCTCAAAGGCCACTCGTGTTCCCACCACCCCCTCAACACAACCCACTACAACACGCCTTCACCCACCATGACGTCGAACTGCTCGGGCTTGGAGACGAGCTGCATGCAGCAGTTGTCAATAATAACCTCGTTGTAGTTGATCTGCGGGTACTGCTTGGCCACCTCGCGGCAGGACTCGAGGAACTGGCCGTCGGCGAGCTTCATGATGTTGGCCTTGTGCACTGCTGTCACCGTCTTGCGGTTGTTCAGGTACGCGTACTCGAACGCGTACTTGGCAATCCGCTCCGAGCAGAACTTGGTGATCACCTTACAGCCGGGGGAATGGGGAATGGGGAAGCGGGGAGGGGGAACGGGGGAGAGAGAACTTGGCGATCACCTGGGCCGGGGGAAGGGGGAATGGGGAAGGGGGACGGGAGTGTGGGAGGAAAGCGCAAGAGAGGGGGGGCACGACTCCAAGAACGCGTGGCGTGGCTCCAATCGAGTCGAGATTCCCATTCACGTTCGTAAAGCATATCGCTTAACTAAGGGCCACGTGGCATACCTTGAGGCTCTCGACGACCCCCGGAGTGACTTCGTGCTCCAGGCCGCTGTACTCGCCCTCCGTGTTCTCGCGGATCACGACGATGTTCACGTTGTCGTGGCGCGTCTTGAGCCCCGGGAAGTTACTGCAGTAGGCGAGATGCGCGAACAGATCGAACTCCTTTCGCAGCTGCACCGTCAGCGAGCTCACCCCGCCCGCCACAGCCGTTCGCACGCCTCCCTTGATCCCCACCTGCAGCAAAAACGGTGATCGGCCGTCCACAGGAAACGACACGACGCGAGATTAAACGCTTACCGAAGACCCCCCTTAAAAACTGAACGCAGGGAATGGGGATGAACGATAGAGGCCTGGGAAGCGGATCGGAGTAAAAATTAAGCAGGGAAACTCCACAGAACGTGCTAGGGGAGTTTTTTGTCAGGAAACCAGCAGAAAAAACTGACCTTGTTTCGCCGGAGGGAATCAATGACTTCGGTCGGTACGGTGGGCATGGTACCCTTGAGCTCGTACGTCTCGAAAACCACCGGCGCGTGCATGGCTTTAAACACCTGCTCCACCGCGTTAGTGCACAGCGGCCCGGCTCCGTCCCCAGGAAGCAGCGTAACAGTGCGCGTCGCGCCCTCGCCGGGCTTGGGCATGTAAGTGACGTTTCGAGTCGACTGCAGGTTGAACGCGCTAAGCGCGGCCCTGGCGGCGTGTGATCTCGACCGAGACGCGATGCGCGAGACGATGGAGGCCATTATGGGAGGTGATGAGTGGATCGGAAAAAATGGACGAGGAAAGGCGAGATCGGCTGAAATTAAAAGTGTGCGTGCGAGGGTCGAGTGATTAGATGGGACGGGAAGGATGGCGGGATGGGGATGCAATCAGGTGAAGGATTTCAGGCTGAGGAGTGGAATTTTGGGGAGGACCGATCTCGGACGGCGGACGAGCAATTAGTGCGGCGCTGCAGAAAAGAGGACTGACCTCTTGACTAAAAGCAGCAGCCAACATACTGAATTACCTTGGGATCAGCAGCTGATGAAGGGGATGGAGCAGGCGAGCCAATTCCGAGGGCTGGAGTACAGAGATCGAGCTCAGGGCGCGTTTACACTTATCCAGGGTAGGTTCTTGTTGAAAGGGCGGTCAAAGCAGCGGGAAAGCCTGCCATTTCTGGTAGACTTGAGTCTTTGACTTGAGAGAGAAAGGCCGTTTCGGCTTTTACCAAAGAGAGTTCCTGCTTGAGAGGGATTGGTCCGCGCTTTCTGTGGTGTCTCGATCACGTGGCAAATGGCTCGAATCCCATTCGCTAAAAATGTGGTGACATGGCTTTTGTCCTCGCAGCTGTCGGTATAGCGGGCATCCGATAAAAGAACGCCCTCCAAACAAATGTACTTCAGGCAGCCCCCTACGTCATTATCCTCGCCAAGGAGCACATCGTTTTATCGCGTGTGAGCGGTGAGTATGCTTCGTTTTTTTTTGTAAAGGAGGAAAGCCCAGCAGCCAGATCTCGGAAATCTCCTTTTCACGCTGACTTCACTCCATACATCTTGTGAATCAGAAAGCCAGTTTCAGCTGAGCTTGCTCTCTGCAGACGGACAGCGAGATAAGTCGACGGTAGACTCGTTTGGTTAGTAGACCAAGGACGGAGCGCAGCGGGTGTGGGTGCCGCGTCTCCTGCCTTTGGCGTTGCTTCTTGTCGTCCAGGCGATTCTTCGTTATACGCATTCGAGATACCTCGTTCCAGGTGCGATGCCTCAGTGGTATGTGAGATCGGAATTTAGTTCAGCCTCACTCGACGGTGATCCTTCGTCGTTCCTTCCTCCGACATAGGCCGCGTCATTCGTTGTTTTCGCCTCGTTCCGCCTGACACGAATCCCATCGGAATTCCAATCAGAATCACTCTATTCTTAGCACTCGCATCTTGATCACTTACCACCCCACCTGGCATTCATCCGACCTCCGACTCCAGGAATCCGGGTGGATTCAGCTCATCGCGTTTTCCTTCCTTCCTTCCGCATCGCATCGCGTCGCAGCGTCGGATTGCGAAGGCGGCGAGCGGCGATGGAGGCGGATCCGATAGAAGCGGCAGCCGCGGCGGTGTCGGTGGAGGAGCAGCGGAAGCAGCAGGCGCTCGTCGACTACCGCAAGAAGCTGCTGCAGCTGAGAGAGCTCGAAGCCCGAGTTAAAACGCGTACGTAGTCTCACTCTTCGATATAGGTTAGTTGCTGAATGGTCCGGTCGTGGTTCCGTGCTGGATGCCTCTCCAATCTCTCTTTTCCTCACACAATCTCCGGCTTTCTCATGTATCCTGACTGTGCCGGTTTGTTTATTTCTGGTGAGTCATGACTGGAATCTGATCTGATTTGATATCTGATGTTGTATGCAGTGCGGGAGAACCTGACGGGCGCACGGAAGGACTACGACAAGACGGAGGGATTTTGAGTCGACTCTCAGATACACCTAATTCCGAGTTCCCCTGTTATTTTCCGCGCAGTGCGGGAGAACCTCAAGGGCGCGCGGAAGGACTACGACAAGACGGAGGACGACCTCAAGGCGCTGCAGAGCGTCGGGCAGATCATCGGGGAGGTGCTAAGGCAACTGGACGAGGAGCGACGTGAGTAGATGGGTAGATGTTGAGAGGTGTGAGTTCTAGGGAGGCAAGAGACGGGTCGAATGGCAGAGCGTGGGGCGAATCGTCGGCGAGGTGCTGCGACAACTGGACGAGGAGGAGCGACGAGTGTGGCTGGGTAGATGTGAGCTGGTTGGGTAGATGTAAGCTGGTTGGGTGGATGTGAGCTGGTTGGGTAGATGTGAGCTGGTTGGGTAGATGTGAGCTGGTTGGGGAGAACTCAAAAGGAGCGACGAGAGAGGTTGGGTAGATGTGAGCTGGTTGGGTGTATGCGGGGAGAAGTCAATTTGGTGCTCGCTCCCAAGACACAACCCTGCTTGGCTTCTCTCCCTCTTCCCCCAGATTCAGACTCCCACACTCCCACACGCCCTTACCCCTGTATCCCTCACTTCTCTTGCTGCCCATTGTGAATTGCTACTTACAGTGATCGTGAAAGCCAGCAGCGGGCCGCGGTACGTGGTGGGGTGTCGCAGCAAGGTGGACAAGAGCAAGCTCACAGCCGGCACGCGAGTGGCGCTCGACATGACCACGCTCACCATCATGCGCGCGCTGCCGCGAGAGGTGAGTAGAGCAGATGGTTACAGTATCACGATGTGACGTGCTTCTCTGCTGACTGACCGGATGCAGCCTGCTGCTATCCACTCCAGTGGCCGTGGCCGTGACCACGCTCACCATCATGCGCGCGCTGCCGCGAGAGGTGAGTATAGTAGGCGGTTGCTGTATCAGAATGTGAGCTGTTACTATTCGCTCGAGTGGCGCTCGACATGGCCACGCTGGCTACAGTGCCATCAGCTGGCTGGGCGACCAGATCCGCGAGCTGCAGGAGGCCATCGAGCTTCCCCTCATTAACCCCGAGCTCTTCCTTCTCCCCCCCCCTCTCCCGCACTCACCCAGGTTGACCCCCTTGTGTACAACATGCTTCATGAAGATCCCGGCAATGTCAGCTACTCTGCCATCGGCGGGCTGGGCGACCAGATCCGCGAGCTGCGGGAGTCCATCGAGCTGCCGCTCATGAACCCCGAGCTCTTCCTGCGCGTGGGCATCAAGCCGCCCAAGGGCGTGCTGCTCTACGGCCCGCCTGGCACGGGCAAGACCCTGCTGGCACGAGCAATCGCCAGCAATATTGACGCAAACTTCCTCAAGGTGGGTTCTTGCTGAAGGTGGTTAGAGAGAGGGCTCATGTTAGATCAGAGAGGTTCCCAGCTATGCGTAAAACCATCAGCCATGTGTAAAACCATCAGCCATGCAAAATGTTTATGGGTTCTTCGTGTGATGGGATTCTACCTTGCTTCAATACAATCTCAGGTCGTGTCGAGCGCCATAGTGGACAAGTACATTGGGGAGAGCGCCCGGTTGATCCGGGAGATGTTGAACTATGCGCGCGACCACCAGCCGTGCATCATCTTCATGGACGAGATTGTGGTTCTTATGCTCCTTGCTTTACACCCCTTCCAGGTCGTGTCGAGCGCCATAGTCGACAAGTACATCGGAGAAAGTGCTCGTCTCATTCGCGAGATGTTCAACTATGCGCGCGACCACCAGCCGTGCATCATCTTCATGGACGAGATCGACGCCATTGGCGGGCGGCGCTTCAGCGAGGGCACAAGTGCTGACAGAGAGATCCAACGCACGCTCATGGAGCTGCTCAACCAATTGGACGGCTTCGATCAGCTCGGACGGGTATGATGCGTGGCAAATATTGTTCCTTTCCTGGTGCTGTATTGCATGCGTTTTTTCTGTTACAATGCTGTGTGTGGGTCTTCTCAGCACCTCTACTCCACCACACCTCTTTTGAGTCGACTCAAAAGACTTCTCAGCACCTCTACTCCACACCTCCCTCCACTCCATCCGTCTGTCCACATGAAGATGATCGTGGATACCAACAGGCCAGACGTCCTTTAGCCTGCTCTGCTTCTCCCTGAGCGCCTGAATCACAAGACAGAGATTCCCTCTCCGTTCTTGCCCTACCCTCCACTCCGTTTGTTGCATCCACTCCCTGCGTTTGCACCCTCCATCTGTGCCGTCTCCCTCTTCCAGGTGAAAATGATCATGGCCACCAACCGGCCGGACGTGCTTGACCCTGCTCTGCTGCGCCCAGGTCGTCTGGACCGCAAGATTGAGATCCCGCTGCCCAATGAGCAGGGGCGCATCGAGGTGCTCAAGATCCACGCGCTGGGCATCACCAAGCATGGAGAGATCGACTACGAGGCCATCGTCAAGCTCGCCGAGGTCAGCCCTTGCTCCCCGCTCCCTTACCTCGCTCCTTACCCGTTTCGCTTTCCCGTTCCCCGCATTCGGGTAAGGTTCCCATTCAGAGGTGCCTTTTTCACCCACATCTCTTCTTGATTGAGATGTGGATGACCGCTGGTCTTGCTTTGCATGCAGGGTTTCAATGGTGCTGATTTGCGCAATGTCTGCACAGAGGCAGGAATGTTCGCCATTAGAGATGATCGTGACTACGTCGTCCATGAAGATTTTATGAAGGTGGGGATGCTCGATTGTGTTTGTTTGGGTGCAAGGAAGTTGATGTGATTCATTTCCCACACCTTTCTTATTTGCTTTACATTGCACGCTCCCATTCCCTTTACAGGCGGTGCGCAAGATCACTGATGCCAAGAAACTGGAGTCAAGCGCTTCTTATTCTGCAGACTTTGGAAAGGACTAATCTGTATCTTGGCTGTAATAAACAACATAATTTGTTGCCCATTCGACATGGAAGCGTAGCTACATAAATGCATCGAGGGTGTTACTGTAGAAATTCACGGTGGTCTCGAGGAGCTGTTTTAATCTCCACGTGTCAGTCCGCTGTTTCCTGCCTGTCAAGCACGGCTAGCCCCAGGCTCTGCATGGCGGCTCGGATGATTCTTCTGGCCCCTCAAACCTGGCTTTACGGCATTCTCGAGGCAACAGATCTCCATGGCGCCTCGAAACTGGCATAGGCGCGCCGCCATGGGGAATTGCAAATACACGCGTCCTTCTTCGCTTCTCCCTCACATCACCTTCTCTCGAAGCGCCAAGCCGCGCCATTCTCAATGCTCGGCTTGATGAGAGCTCTTCCCTTGGCGAGGCTCAGCGGAGCCCGCTGGAGGCTCTCCTTTCTCCGCAGCAGCTGCCGTTGAAGCCTGAATGATCAACCTCGGGACCCCACTTGACCCCACTGATAATGCTAACGAAGATTCTGACTCGCCTCGGGTTTTGCTATTTTCCAGAGACTTGCTCCCGACGTCTCCTTTCACGTGCTTCTCGCCCAGTTTGTCATTCCCAATGCTTCTCACACTCCAGCCTAGTTCTTAGTTCTCTCTTCCTGGGTTGACGTCTCTAGGTTGCCTCTTTTTCGACAAGTCCAATCTCGTGTCAGATCTCGGCGTAATCGAGGGGGCTAGCAGGGGTCTCTACGGGAAATAGACTCACGGCCGCTGCTTATCAGCATTCAGCCTCAAGGCCAGCCGTGGATATCGAAGGATAAGGCAGGCCCTCGCTGCGTGGCTTCATCTGGATCTTACCGCTGAGGTACTAGATTTCGCGCGTCTTTTGACCACTGGTAGTTAATCTTACCGTCCTTCTGTTGTGAACTGTTGTCAAAATTCCATTGTGGCATGTTTCTAAGACTAGCCGAATATGTCTGTGGCAGGAATTTTCCTTGCAATGGAGCCCTCTGTGCCGCATGGCCAAGTTCAGGAGCACGCGTCGACGGCTGCTGAAGCGCTCATGGAGCTCGGATGTCGCTCCACTTCGTCTGAAGAGGTTGAAGGCGATTCTGAACGGACAGCCGAACGGGACGTGGAACCCGTGACAGCTCAAGGCGATGAGGAACGGGCTGGTGAACGGGATGCTTCGCCGACAGCTGAACTGACAGCTGAAGGGGATGCTGAGCCCGTGATAGTATCTCAAGGCGATCCTGAAGCGATGGCGGCGAGTTCCACGCTTCACGGAAAAAAACAAGACCGCTCCCCTGCTTATGTCGCGGATGAGTCCCCTAAGGGAGTCGAGGATGATGCCGTGGTGCGGGAAGCTGGTGAGGGGGAAATCATGGAGCTAGACGACGGCGAAGCTGCTGAGAAAGAAGAGAAAGATAAGACTGGTGAGAAAGATCGACAAACTCCGAATGTCGCGGAGGGGTCTCGCCAGGACGAGATGGACATCGCAGGGAATGAGGACGCGAACGAGGAGAGGCGAAGCGACAAGGTGTCATCCCCTCCCCAGAAAGTCTTGCACGCACATCATGTGGGTGATGACGACCAACCAGCGGATGACCATGTCGAGCGCACGGGAGATCACGAGGATCGCGTGGCGAAGCGGATCATCAGCAGCAGCCCTCTAACTCCTGCGGGAGCTCAAACGCCGCAGGCGGCAGAAATCAGATCGGTGCAGACGCCTGCCACGCAGCCGCCGCAGCACACGCAGTCGGGGCTGACCGTCCCTGGAGTGCCAATACAACCCAGCCTTCCGTTACATGGTAACCTTTGTAACCCTGGTGTTCATTTTCTGAGGAGCCGTTCTCAGCTGACCGTTCTGGAGCCTCTGCTGCCTTTTTTAACTCTCCTTTTTTTTAGTATCCCGTCTCCTTTTCCCCGTGCGTGTTTCCCGATGCGTGACTCGGCTTGTGTGGCTTGTGTCTTTGGCAGCGCCAGACGGCGCGCTGGTGTCGCTGGTGCCGGCCGCTCCCGAGGACGGGCAGCTGTGGATCCAGCCGTCGCAATTCGTGGCGGCGCCGCAATTCTTTGGCGGAGGGCAATTTGTGGGCGGAGCGCAATTGATGGGGGGAGCGCAAGTCATGAGCGGAGCGCAACTCGTGAGCGCTCCTGGACTCGGCGGCGGCATGATGCCCGGGGGGCCTCTTTCGTTCTTCCGCGCATCGTCTTTCTCCGCTCCTGTTTCCGCGACGGGCGTTGAGGGAACGTTCGGCGGCGACGGAGACAACGCAACAGCGCGTGGCGTTTCAGGGGATTTATTCGGGGGGAACGCGGGCGATGAGGTGATCGAAGGCTCGTGGGACGACCTGATCATCTGCACTCCCACCGGCGGTTTTCACGGCGGGTTACACGGCGGGCTTCATGGCGGGATACACGGGCAGATGGGCTGGGGGGGGGAGCGAACCAGCCGAGGGGGTCGCCGCACGCAGCTATGGGAGGGCGACCCGCAGCTCGTGTACCGCCTGCAACAGAGTTACCACGCAGAAGACACCGCTGTGGCAAATCCGAAAGCCGACCCAACGGTTCTTATAACCGGCGCTGAGAGCACCCCCGTTCGAGACGACGGGGAAGAGGAGGAGGATTTGCACGCGGGAACTCGGGAAGCGCGGGAAGCTCGGGAAGCTACGACGCCACCAGGGATGGTACTTGAGACCAGGGATATCGCGGAGACGGCTAGAGCGGGGGATAATATTGCGGGGGCACAGTTGCCGCTGCAGGTGAAAGTGGAATTCCCGACGCCGTCGCCTCGAGGCGGGCTGACCTCTCCTAGTAGCAGGGGCGGGCTGGGCTCTCCTAGCAGGGGCGGGCTGGGGTTCTCGTACCACTCGCCCATCCCGCTGTGCTCGCCGTCCCCGCTGCGCCTCTGCGCCATGGAGCTTGGGGACATGGCGGAGCCGAATCTGTGGCTGTCGCCGCCTGCCAGCACCAAGTACACGCTTGAGAAGCTTGGGGACTTCCCGCCGTTCTCGCCGCGACTGCCGGCGATCATGCGCGGCTACAGCGGTGAGCTTGCGAGGGGCACACTGAGTGGAAGGATTAATTGCGATATGGGCTGCAGCAAGGGTGCTTTGACTGAAAGCTTCTTGTTGCACGCCACCCTTTTGCTTACGGCGCTACGATTTCGTGTTTTTGTTTGTTTGTTTGTACATATCTCGCAGCAGGGTTGCCGTACCTGGACCCAAGCGCGCACCAGCAGGCCGTCAGGATGTCGCCGTCTAGGGGAGCGCCGTCGGGATTCGCCCCGCCGCAAGCCCTGGGCGGACCAAGCGCCGATGCCACAGAAAGCCCGCCAGCCCCCTCCGCCGATTCCGCCGTTCCGCAATCCGGTCTTCCAGCGGACGAGAGAGCCGCAGCTGCTACGCGGAAAACGTCGGACGATCGGGAGCCGACGAACGATGGTGAGACTAGGGGGAGGGCAGATGACGCGCCTGATCAAGTGGGTGCGAGGAGGGAGGGCGGGGCGGCGGAATTGGCGCGGATGGTCAGCACGCCGGGGAGCGGAGTGAGATACGTTGGGATGCGCGGGCGGTCGCTGTTGCAGCAGTGCCTCATCATGGGCGCAGAGCAGCGCGCAATTCGCGCGACGGCCGGTGGTGGTGGTAGCGGCGATGGCGGTGGTAGCGCCGATGTTGCTGGTGGTGCTGCTGCAAGCGAGCGTGGACCCGGTGTTTCTGGTGGTGGCGGTGGTGCTGCTGCACCCGACCGCACTGTCGAAGGGAACGAGAACGATGAGAGGGGCGAAGAGGACGAGAATGGCGAGAGGGGCGAGAAAACTGCGAAGACTGGGGATGCAGAGGACCGTGCGGCGGGTGTGAGCCCGTCGGTGCTGAAATGGAGAGCGGCGGATACTAACGATCGTCGTTACTTGCGCCCAGACCAGCCGAGGATGGCTCTTGACGCGGATTCGACTGCCGCGCACGCCTCTCCCGTGCGTCCAGCCCGACAGGATCAGCCCGGGGAATTGCCCAGTGTTGTTGGTGCTGCAAGCCGCAGCCATGTGCAAGAGAGCAACGTGGGCAGTGATACGAGGGTGACTGAGGGAGGACCGTGCACGCAAGTGCATAGAGGGGAGTCGCAGCAGCACGTTTCAGGAGGGTTGGGCGAGGCTCCGAGCAGTCGCAAAGAGGCTCTTACGCACTGTGGCGAACATCTGTCGCGGGCGTATGTTACCACCGGCCGGAGGTCGTTTGTGGTTGGCTCGTTAGGCTCAACCCTTACGGAACGCGTCAATGTACTTTTACACAAACCAACAACGAGTACAAGCGATAGCGAGGATGGCGAGACCGAAACTGCAAATTCGGACGGAGGCAATTCCAGCGTCAACATTCACGCCTCATCCCATCTTGACAGCGGAGGCGCGGATTCGAACGACGATGGGTCAGGCGTGGTTGAGAAGGACCAGGGCGCGCGGGAGGGAGAGGGGGAGGTGGAAGGGGGAGAGCACAGCGCCTTGGGAGCAGCCGCGGGATCGAACGGCGCTAAAGGCGGTGGGGACGTGGGCAAAGGTGACAACAGCGGTGGTGACAACAGAGGGGCCTCACAGACTGCGCGAGCTCGGCCGGCGGAAGACGGTAGCTGGGCGTCGGAAGTGCCGGCGGAAGAACAGCCGTCCCTTTCACTGGCGGGCGCGGAAAGAAGGGGCGCGGAGCGTACGGGTGCGGAACGTACAGGCGCAGAAAGGACCCACAAAAGGGGCGCGGGCTTGGTGAAGCTGCAGCCGCGCAGGGCGCTGAGCGGAAGCCCCGCGATTTCCCCGTCCTTCTCGATTCCCGCATCCCCCGCTTCCGGCTCCCCCCTTTTGGCGCCACCTGAGCCGAGTGTATCCCAGTCCGCTGGCAGGGAGCGTCCAGCGGAGCGGGCGCCTGCCCTGCAGCCTGGAGCGCTTGTGCCTCAATCGCAGCCTGCGGTACAGCCACATTTGGGGAAACAGCCAATGAATGGCGGCCAGGGAAGTTTGGAGCGCGGTAACCGCACAGCAAGTGGTGGGAGGGAGCCGGTTGGGAGAGATGCGGCTGAAGGTGACGTGGCGTCAGGCGAAGCACGGGAGAAGCTTCCCAGGGCACGCGAGGGGTCAAAGCGCGCCAAGTCTCAGGAGATTGGGGGAAGTCGAGGTGATGAGGGGGGAAGAGGAGAAAGAGGAGGAGGAGGAGGAGGAGGAGGAGGAGGAGGAAGAGGAGGGGTAGGAGGAGGAAGAGGAGGAGGGGTAGGAGGAGGAAGGGGAGGGGTAGGAGGAGGAAGGGGAGGGATAGGAGGAGGAAGGGGAGGGGCCGATTTGGGGGATGGAAGTGGTGTTGGGGGGACTGCAACAGCAGCAGGGAATGCGTCCATTGTTCCTTGGCATCCCAGCAACTCACCCGCAGCTACTAGCGGGGCGGCTTGTATGGGGTTTCCAGTGTACTCGCCCCAATTGCCTCCTATTGGTAGCTACTTCGTTATGAGCCCTCTGCAGCAGCATCATTTGAGCCCAATGCAGCAGCAGCAGCAGCAATTTCAAATCTGCTCCCTGTCGCCACAGCGTCACTTGAGCCCAATGCAGCAGCAGCAGCAGGTGCAAATCTGCTCCCTGCCGCCACAGCATCAAATGCACGCCATGGTCCCTCAACACCAAACATTGCCCCCCCAGCAGCAGCAATACATGCATGCCGTGCCGCCGCATCCGCACACGCTCCCGCCCCAGCAGTTGCAGCAGCAGTACATGCATGCCTTGCCCCATGGCCAATCCCCACCCAGGCCCCTGCCGCCTCTCCCCGTGCCTGTTGTCATCGGTTCCCCCATTCTCCACGGCTCCCATCGCCCCCCAGCTTCTCGTGGGAACCAAGGGCAAGCAGTGATGATGCAAGGGGCGTCGGCCATTCCCTTAGCACCAGGCGCCTACCTCCAGCCTGCTGCTTCCACAGGTGGGGTGTCGTCAGGAGGTGGGAGAGAAGGGGGAGGAAGAGGGGAAGGAAGCAGAGCGGAGGGAGGCCAAGGGGAGGGAGGAAGAGCGAGTAAGACATCACGAGGGGTACAAACCCCTTCGCCCCAGTCCTCAGCAAGTGCCTCCTTCCGCCCTTCCCCAGTCCACCCTCCCCCTCCCCCTGTGTACTCCCCGGCTGCTTCCTCCTGGGTGCCGTTTGCCCTGCCCCCTGCTGCCTCTGTTGGCCCGGAAACGGGTAAGCTTCCAATTTACCCGATAAAACCTGGGGTGCAGAAGGCTCACGCCAGGAGGGATGTTCGCCCGGATGTGTCAGGCGCAGGCGAACAGCAAGTGGAGAGCTTGCAAGATCAGCAGCAGCGCCATATGCAGCAAGTGCAGGAGGTGCTAGCATACAGGCAAATGGTCGCAGCTACGAATAAGCCAAAAACGTGGGGTCAAGGGCACGTGAGAATGCCATCAGCAGCAGCACCACCACCAGCACCACCAGCACCACCAGCACTAGCAGCAGCAGCAGCAGCAGCACCAGCAGCAGTAGCAGCAGCAGCAAAAGCACAAGAAGTGCCACCAGCAGCATCAGGCCCAGTGTCCCTCACTCTGTCTCTACAGAGCAACAGCAGCAGCAGCGGCAGCAGAGCTCAGCAACCCCTGGGCCCTCAACCAATTCGTGGCGCACAGCAAGCCCTTGCAGCACAAGCCACTGGCTTACCACCAACCCTTGGCGCAGCAGCATCAACGCCCGGTGCACAGCCAGCTCTTGAATTTCAAGCCATTGGCTTACGACCAGCCATTGGCAGCGCAGCACCACCACCACCCCCCGGCGCACAGCAAAGTGGTGCGGCAGGGGAGGAGTGGCAGCAGAGGCAGCTGCAGGCCCACGAGCTGAGGCGGCAGAGGGTGCAGAAGATTCTCCAGCAGCAGCAGCAGCACCCGCATTCGCCCACTCAGTTCCCGCAGCTGGCTGATCTGCAGGCGCAGATTCATAAGCAGCAGCAGATGCAGAGCCAGAGGCTGCCAGTGCCGCCACGCCAGCGGCAGCACCCCCAGCAGCAGCAGCAGCAGCACCTCCAGCAGCAAGTTCAGCGGGTGCTGCAGCAACAAGCGCCAAGGCTTATGCTGGGTGTGAAGCAAGAGAGGGTTGAGCAGGGCGGGAGGGGAGACTCACACTACCAGCCGCAAATACTGGGAGACAGGCACGGGCTGGCGAACCGCATGCAAGGGCAGGGAGGGGTGGGAGGAGGCGGAGGCACGGGTGGGGTGCACTGGGGGGGGGCATGCGGGGGATGGAGCGAGGAAGGAGGGAGAGCAGCTTGAGGCTCCTCAAGAGGAAGCGGGCGTTTAAGGAGGTGGTGGATGGGGCAGGCGCGGCTTTGAGGGCGTGTAGCAGTGAAGGGGAGTTGGGAGGCGTGCCTTATCAGCGGCAGGGGCTTCCTGCTCATCAGCAGCAGCAGATGGGGCCGGCTTATCAGAACCAGTTGCCACCTTATCAGCAGCAGCAGTCTACTTATCAGCACCAGCAGCAGCAGCCTGCTTATCAGCACCAACTGGTGGTCACAGGCATGGGAACAGGCACGGGTGTAAATCCGGATGGAGGCATGGGTGCAGGCTCGGCAACAGGGATGGGAACGGGGATGGACGTTGGCGGCTATCCTGCTGACGTCATGGGGGGAAGGAACCCAGAGGATGACGTCATAGACATGCATATGGGGATAGGTGGGTTGGGGGACGAGGGGATGTGTGCCATGGGGGCAGGGGGAGGGGCGGAGGGGGACGGGAGAGGGGCGGAGGTAGATGGGGGAGAGGAGTGCAAGGCTTCGGAGGCAATCCTGTCAGCAGCGGCGGCTGTGGCAGCAGCAGCACAGGCAGTGGCAGGTGGAGCTGGTGAGCGGGGAGGAGGCGAGGGGGAGAGGGAGCCTCCTGTCAAGTCAAGGTTCAGGGGCGTAAGCCATCACAGGTCAGTGCTGAGTCACGAAAGGTCAGCGCTGAGATGGCAGGCCTATCCGTTGTCATACGGCTGATTCTGCTGGTTCGCCCTCTTTCCCCCCTGTGCACAACCATCCACCCCCTTGAACCCCCCCCCCCCCCCCCCCCCCCCCCCCCTCCCCCTCGCTCTCTCTCCTCCGTGGCTTTTCTTGCAGGCTGACTAAGCGGTGGGAAGCCTCTCTCTGGACCAACAAGAAGCAGCTCTACCTGGGTGAGTGGATAAGTGACAGGTTTACGTTGAGGGTATTAGATTCTCTCTCTCTTTGTCGATCAGGCCTGAGCCAACAGATCGGAGATGATTTTGTCTGAGCGCGGTCGTTTGTCCACACCACCTGTCTCACTCCAATCAGGAGGCTACGATGCAGAGGAGAAGGCGGCTCGCGCGTATGACATAGCAGCGCTGGCATGCAAGGGGGCAGAGGCCATCACCAACTACCCGAAGGATACCTATGCGGATGTTATTGGGGAGTACCTCGGGATCTCCTGTGAAGCGCTCATTGCGAAGCTGCGCAGGGAAAGCTCGTAAGTTGCACTTTGATGCTCTAACATTTTGCGCCAGATAAACTGTTCAAAGGAATCTGCAGATGACTTCTGATTCAAGCATGGCTGTTGTACCCAGACTCCGGGACACACTGCAATGCTCCCTTCGCTTGTGCCAAATCCTCCAGGACGATCTCGTGCAGTTGATAGTACCCAGGAGTGTCGGGCCAGGAGGACGTGGTGCGATGGTAGTGCAGCGGGTGGTGCGATGGTGAATGTCTTAAGACTCCCTTCTAGCTTCCCTCCTCCCCTTCGCCCCTTCAAATGTTTCCTCCCCTTCGCCCCCTTCCAAATGTTTCCTCCCTTCGCCCCTTCCAAATGTTTCCTCCCCTTCGCCCCCTTCCAAATGTTTCCTCCCTTCGCCCCTTCCAAATGTTTCCTCCCCTTCGCCCCCTTCCAAATGTTTCCTCCCCTTCGCCCCCTTCCAAATGTTTCCTCCCCTTCGCCCACTCAGGGCGTTCTCTAGAGGTCGCTCCAAGTACCGGGGCGTGTCGGGCCAGGAGGGGCGGTGGGAGGCGCGCATCGGGTCATACTTTGGGCGGCGGAACGTGTCTCTGGGGGTATACGAGACGGAGGAGGCGGCGGCGGAGCAGTACGACCGGGCGCTGATCATCCAGAAGGGCACGCGGGCCAAGACCAACTTCTGCATCTCCAAATACATTGCAGAGCACCTGCAGCACGTGAGTGCGTGGGGTTGTGCATGAGAGCGTGTGTGAGTGCGACATGAGGCCCTGTCTGCATACGGGGGTGTATGAGGCAGGAGGCAGACAGGGCGTTCCCATCTTGTGGGTCTGTGCATACCCGACTGCGTGTGTGCATACCCGACTGCGTGTGTGCATACCCGACTGCGTGTGTGCATACCCGACTGCGTGTGTGCATACCCGACTGCGTGTGTGCATACCTGCTTGCGTGTGTGCATACCTGCTTGCGTGTGTGCTTGTTTGCTTGTGCTTCCAATATGGCTTTCCATGTTGTGGTGGATGGGACATCTCATTTCTGCATCCTCGGCTCTTGCTTGAGGAGCAGGGCCAGGAAGGAGCGCTGTTCCCCAGCCAGCAGCCCCAGTCATCTGGTAGCAGAGCGTGTCTTACCCAGGGAGCAGCAACAGAGATCCCCCCAGCTGCACCATCAGCATCTTCCGCTTACCCGCTGTCAGCTGCGGTGGCAGCTGCTGCTGCAGCAGCAGCAGCAGGAGGAGGAGCAGGAGGAGGAGCAACTGGGGAAGGGCATGGTGGAGTGCGGTTCGGAGGGGTGAAAAAGGGTCGGATTACTCCAGGCTTTGATGCGCTGTACCGCCGGGCGATGGCGGAGATAGTAGCCAGCTCCGCTCCCTTCGCTGCGGAGGAGCAGGACAGCAGGCCGGCTGTGGAAGAGTGACTGGCCTGCTGGGCTCTCTGAAACTACTTCTGAGGCGCCTAAAAAGAGTGAGTGGCCTGCTGGGGTCTGAAGTGCGGCCAAGGTGATTGTCACATTGCAGTCAAGCCATGGTTGGCTTCACGGGCAGCCATGCTTTAAGTTGTGGGCAACCATGGTTGATTTTGTTGGCAACTACGGTTTTTGTGAGCAACCATGGTTGATTTTGTGGGCAGCTATGGTTGATTTTGTGGGCAGACCTGCCTGCTCCCCGTTGGCTTCTGAAGAGCAGGACTACAGGCCGGTTGCGAGAGGGTGCCTGCTGGTGTTAAGGATGCTGGGCTGGAGCCATTGCTGCTGGCATTTAATTAATTGGCGGTTTCGTCATACTGTTCGCCTTTAGTGCTGGGATGGGATACTTTTGTCATGGCAGGATGGGTAGTTTGATTGAAGCCTGATTCTTTTGATGCTTGGATTAGGTCATCATATCATAGACATTCAAGAAAATTTTCAACACTACTGCATAGCCAAAGCAAGCACAGGTTCAATTGTCTGGATAACATGGTACAACTAGTTAGCCCAGTGGTCCATTGGATGCCAGGGGGAATGGTGACTCACCATTGGTGAGAGGGCAACGAGCTCTAATGCTGCTGTCATGCTGCTGCTCCTGCAGCCAGCTCCTGCTACTCGGTGTTCTGTTGTAGATAGGACCTTCACTGCATATTCATGCTACCGTACTATACTGTGACAGCAAATCCATAACATGTTGTGTGCTTTATTCTCCTTCAGCCTTGAGTATCGGCACCACCAGGGGATGCATCTGTGCCATGTACACTATCGCCCACCTGTTGGCAATCAGGCACATAAAACGCAGAACATATAACATAGATTGGTGCATGAAATGTAGCCACATGACGCCCGGAGGCATGCATTTGAACACAAACCATCCTTGGGTACGAGATACAGCTACATGGAACATGGACACATGGACACATGGGATTTCAGGATATGGAACAACAGAACGTCAGGAAATGAGAGAGATAGGGTAAGGGAATGAGGAAGGCTGAAGGGAAGGAGGGAGGGGGAAAGAGGAAGAGAGAAGGGCGCATGAGGAGGCTGGGTGTCGTTCGAGGTAAGGGCGCGGGACTGGCTAGTAACAGCAAGAGGCTGACGTAGCCGAGAAACAGGAGGGGGGCTCGGAGCACTCACGAGAGCCAACAGCAGATAGTTGCGGTGATGACCAGCGTGACATGCAGCCTGATGCACGACCAGGGGACGAAACGAGCAGGGGAAAGAACGAACGGGGATTGACATTTTGGAAAACGGTTGCGTCCCCGATGTAGAAAGGGGTGTTGGGAGGAAAGGAAGGGCTTCACATAACAGACCCGACGGGAAAACGGCTCGGGAAACGAATCTAGACACGCAATGATGCGCAGCTGGTTGTTAAGACGCAGATTGAAATCGCCCAGCAACAGCGACACCAGGAAAGGAACACAAAAATGTGACGAAAATGAGAGCGGAAAGGGATGAGGCTGGATAAACGTACAGGTTCGTTGACGGGCCTTTATCGTAGAGAACCCTAACGAGCACGCAGCCTAGGAAGCCCAAAGCGAAGAAGATGAGCGTGATGACCAGAAACGCCGCCATGCTGGTAACCGTGTAACACTCGCTAGGCCGTTTGAGAAAACCTAGATCAGGAGCTCACGGTCAGAAAAGCTTCAGCCTGTAATGAATGAGCACGTGAGACCAAAGAAACACGACATTGCTTGTGATCGCCTGTTAGATCCGACTAGAGGTTGCTGACATGGCAGCATGATTCCGTGATCGTAAGACCTCTATACCATAAGACGCAGGCCATTCGGACAATAAAAATAACCTGATAGCTGATATTTGAATTCGACAGGCAGGAAAAAATGACTAGGCCTTGGATAACGAACCTGTGAGGAGCTTGCCACGTCCTCAGCAGACTAGAGTTTCCAGGGTCAGGAGAGAGAAAAAAACAATCTACGACTGTGGAAGCTCGAATCGGTCCGACCGGCGGCAGCCCAGAGTTTATCTCCAACTGAGGTCGCAGTGATCCGGGGACGAACGGACGTTAGAGCCTGAAACCGTTGTACTCAAGGGAATATATATGGTAGCAGCATAAAGTGAAGTGCGTGATGGTTGAGCTCGGCAATAACTATGTCGGCTGACAGCAGCGCGGGAGGGCAGGGGCAAGGATTAGGGTGTTGTACGCGTTAATAGTTCATCGAGGAAGGCGTAACAGTATGTCCATTTTGTGAATGTTACTAAAGTACAAGGGCATGTGACCTCATGAAAGGGCTACTCGCCCTCAATTGATGCCCTGTGAAACATCTACTCTCAATATTCTGCATTCAGAATGTGGAACCCAATACACCATAAAGAAAGGGTGCCAATAAGAGTAATGTAATATGGATGGCAAAGGAGTGATAATCAACACCCTTGGAAGCGCATGACATCATTGGATGACACTGACATCATTGAGTGTCACGCCAAGTCATGTCATCCCGTACCGTGCAAGAAAGCAGTGTTGCCGAGGTGGCAACATGCCGCACTGCTCGGCTAGATCAAAGCCATCGCCCACCTCCATTTCTTTCCCACTCTCTCCCCACCACACTTCATGCCCACCACCTTTTTACTACACACACAGGCATGCCACATATGAAAACATCAACACCTACACACCTAAAAACCTACACCCACCGACACATACGCACTCACTTACACACACCCAAGCGTCCTCCCTCGGCTTATCAAAAACCGATTTCCACTCTGGCTATCACCTTTGTCACTGATGCCACTGCCGCCAATGCCACTGTTACCAGCACTGCCAGCTCTGCTCCACTCGCTCGGTCCTCACCTACCCGCCACATGCCCCACTGCCACTCCCCTCACCCGATTAAGCAACCTCAGCAAACTACTCACACAGCGGCATTTCCACCGCCGCTACCATCACCACCATCACCACCATCACCACCATTCCCACCATCACCACCATCGCCACCATCACCACCATTCCCTCCACCATTATTGCCATCCTTGCTCCCATCACTGCTACCACTGTCCCCACCACCGCTGCTGCTGTTCCCAAGGTCCACTTTGAAGATGTAAGTGGCCCAGTTGGTCCACTCCGATCTCGGCTGCCCCGCCACGTACTGCACTGCTGCCCACGCGTTGCCTTCCTCGTCGATCGTCGCTGTCATGTAGTCGCCGTAGCGGTTGACACCTTCCCTGTAGCCTGGAGAGCACAAGTTGCAAGGGGAAAAGAGGGTGCAGGGGGTGGCCGTAAGGGTGCTTCTGAAGTGGCCCGCCACATACGGTTTCGGGTTGAGGATAAGGTGGTGATCAAAGGCATGTGTGTACGTTAGGCTCGGTTCGAGGGAAGGAAGTAGCAATCAACCTACCGTTGTAATCATCCAGGGGGGCTTTCCCCGGGCCGGTAACCACCACCCGGCCCACATCCACGTTGGCGTTGACAGTGGCGTAGGCAGCAGAGGGGTAGAACGAGACTCCTGCCAGCGCTGTTGCAATGATGCCCTTGCCATGCCTGGTAGGAAGAAGGGGAGGGGAGGGGAGGGGAGGGCGACCAAGGCTTCAGAAGAGCATAGGCAGCAGAAGGGCGGAAGAGAAGAGGGCCCTGGCAGCGTATTTTGAGTCGACTCAAAATACAGCAGAAGGGCGGAAGTGAAGAGGGCCCTGGCAGCGATGCTGCAATGATGCCCATTCCGTGCTGGGGAAGGGCAGGCCCGAAATCATAACAAGGCGTTGGGATTGACAAAAAGGCGTGCGAGAGAACGAACGCTAAAAATTCGCCCACCACTCAAGATCGCCCAACACCCAAGATCGCCCAACTCCACAGGTCGCCCAATCCCCAAGGTCGCCCAACACCCAAGGTCACCCAAGGTCCTTTCCCACCCCCTCTATTCTCAACCATCTCCTCTCACCCCACTCTTCCCCCGCCACCCTGTCCCCCGCCCTCTCTTCGCCTCACCTGTTGAGCGCAATCATCGGCTGAATGAGGCTGTTCCCGCCACCCACTCCCACCACTTTGAACCGCTCCAGATACACCCGAAACGGCCTCCACTTGCGCTTGAGCCTGAGGGACAACCGGAGCCGCACCACCACCGCTGAGGCACTCATCTCCTTGCCAAAGGCCGACATGAGGCTGACCCACATCTGCCTGGTCCCAGGAGACACCACCACCCCTCGAGCGTCAACCGATGAAGGCCCGATTGGGGCGACAGTTTTGTTCAATTTCCAGCCGAGCGGTATCGGGCCGTTTTTTTGCGTGACGGGCAGCGGTTGGAAGTAGGGCGGCGTGTAGACTGCGGCACAGTGTGGCTCCACGGTGGATTCTGCTTCCGATGTGCCCAGTGCACTTGTACCCGTTATAGCAAAGGCACCCATTACTGTGTAGTTGGCCACAAGCACGGTTTCGTTAGGAGCACTGTTGAAATTGTTACCCGACCATCCGAAATACATGGTGCCTCCATGGCTGTAGTCGTATTTTCCGTCTGCAGCAACCCTCTGAGGATAAATGGTGAAGGAAGGGTTACTGAGGTTCGCTGTATAGGGGATGACGAAGCGAAGAATGGTGGCATTTTCGGGCCTGTCAAGCTGAGACTTGGATATGGCACTGGATGGGGGAAGGGGGAGTGGGTTGGGAGCCGGGGAGGGGGGGAGGAGGGGGGGAGAGGCACGGGTGAGCAAAAACATTTGGGATGCATGTGTCTACACACGCTGTGCACGCAAAAGCATGCATGCTCGCAGCAAGAGTTATTTCCTTGCTGCATAGGGTGAAGTCACTGGGAGCACCCCAGGGATCCTGTACGGGCTGCAGGTGGCGTCCTGGGGGGTTATGCGTGCACTAACCCACCAACTCAACACGCCCTTTTAACCCAGGCCGTAGGCGGCCAAGAGTTTTCACATTGCTGACTCGGCACAAAGGCAGTTGCAGGAGGGTGGTGGTCAAAACTGCAATTCATGTGCTCCAGGGAAACAATGTGCTGCTCTTCGAAACAATGTACGATAACTCATTATATGCGTGACGTTTTTGAGAATTCGAAAAAACACACTGAGAATTCTCAAAAACACCCTGAGAATTCTAAAAACCACCCTTGAGAATTCTAAAAAACACCCTGAGAATTCTCAAAAACACCCTGAGAATTCTCAAAAACACCCTGCAATGCACGATAACTCACTATATGCATGACCCGAAGAACTTGTCAAACGTTTCCGGAAACTGGTTCACCGACACATAGAATCCTGAAGGGCGAGGAGGGAAGCGCGAGGTGAGAGGAGGAGAGAGAGGCGAAATGAGGGAGAAGGAAAGAAGGGGGAAGGGGCAGTACGAGGCGAAGGGGCGGTAAGTGGGGAGCGGTAAGGGAAGGTGAGGTAAGGGAAGTGGCTTTCCTTGAAAACACAAAGTGTATTCAAAGAAAGTGGAT